GCTGTTGATTCTAAACCAGCCACTCTCTCATGTGAGTAACTTCTGTCGGAGCACTAAGGAAAGGTATCAGGATGGCATATTTAATTTATTTATTAAATTTACAACCTGCCTTTCCTTCAGAAATAAGTTTCCATTTGCTTTCAAGACCTAAGTGCAAAACCATGGGTACAAAGGACATATGACAAAAGACATAGAAACATAGAAACAAAGTGAGTCAGAAGGGGCTTCCTGAGCCATCTAGTCTGACCCCCGGCTCCAGCCAGCTCTGCTCATGTAATCCCCAACATATGGTTGTCCAATCTTTCCTTGAACTCCCTCACTGATGGGGCCTCAACCACCTCCTTTGGAAACCCATTCCATATCCTAGAGGTCCCAACCATCAGGAAGGTCTTCCTGACATCCCACCTGATGCCTGGTTCCTTGAGCTTTGCCCCACCAGATCGCATCCTGCCCTCAACTGCAGGAAAGAACAGGGCATGGCCATCATCCAAATGACATCCCCTCACATACCTATGAGTTGCTAACATACCTATAAGTCACTAAAATGCAAGACACACACACACAAAGCCTTCATGGACTCATTTTTACTCTGCTGTCCATATAAGTGGGTGATGAAAAGTGGGTTGTATGTGACTCCCAACCTTTGCCCTGCCCTACAGGTGGCCTTTGACTCAAAGGTTTGCCCTTTCCTGGTGCAAAGGGAATATCACAATGCAATGCACTCCCTATTTTGTTCTGTAGTGTGGAACAAGCCTCTAAGTCTAACCCTTACCCTTGTTTGGTTTTCTTTATAGGGAGAGATAACTGGGGTTTACAGTGCATTGCAGTATGTGTGTTTAGAAAGTTCAAGCTAAGCACAGATGGAGGTAGGCAGCACAAAATTCCATGAAGCAAGTTTACTGCTCCCACATCAAAACTCCATGAAGAGGTACCCAGCATTTCCAGATGTGCCGAGTTTATGTTTCCTGCTTCTTTAACTGAGCTTGGGAGGGAAAAGGTTAATGCTGGCGCTGATGAAAATGCCCCCGTCCCATCATCATCGATTTGGTGTGGGATTTATAATGGTGCTGACTCAAACTGCAGCTCCTTTTGTATCACAGAGAGTGACCTGATTTACCTCATCTTTAGCTGGGGTCCTGGGGTGAACAGAAGAGTCCATGAACTTATTTTCCTAGCCATGAGAAAGCCAGCAATCTTCCTCTCAAAGGGAAGGTATGGACCAACCTGGGCAGTAGCTTTTACCAACTTTAATATGCGTTTTCTGTCCCACTAACACGGTCCTGTTCAACTCCCCAAACTTGCAACAATAATGTGAGACAAAGATCCTGAAACTGATAGTACCTGTTGAGACTAGAGTAAATGTTTTGTGAAAGCTTTTTTCTGTCCTTAAAAAGAAGGAAGGGGAATTTAATCTCTTTTATCTATTGTGAGAATGTTAGATAACAGAGAAATGTCAATTTAAAAAAATAGAAACATTTGTCATCACAATTCCTTTCTCTCTCTCTCTCTCATCTCTCTCACACACAGTATGGTATATTACACAGTTGCACAGAGGATAAGAGATACTCTGTTCACTTCCTGACTGTTTTAGGATGATGGAATATTCTTCCTCCTGCAATCATTTAGTAATTTCTCACACATGTTATAATAAGACAGGGTCACAAATAATGCCAGTTTCTGGCATTGCTCCCTTCCAGCTCTAAACTTTGTAAGCGGCCCCATCTGTCCATTCAAGACTTCAGAACCCAGGTCCCAGGACACTGGGTAACCTGCAGACACCTGGAAGAGGAAGATGCTGCCCTGACTTTATTCACTGTGCTTTGCTGCTTGGTCTTTTCCCCACTGGCTTTTGATTGTTTCTGCTCATTCTCTTTTGTGTCTTTCCTCCACTTCTCCCATTTTCTTTCTTCAGTTTCCTTCCTTCCTTCAGTTTCTGACACAAGAGACAGTGTGATACAGTGGTTAGAGCATTTCACTAGGCTTGGGGAGGCCAAACTCAGCATGAAGCTCCCTGCATGACTTTGGACCAGTCACAGACCCTCAGGCAAAGCTACCACACAGTGCTGTTGTAAAAGTAAAATGGAGAGGAGCTTATGAGCTGTCTTGGGTTCCTTGCAAGAGGGATATCAATATAATAATATATTTTCTTAAAATCTCAGCTAAAGCATCACACCCTGGAGGAAGGCAGAATGATGGGACACGCACTCATATACATTCTCACCATCCTTTGTGATCCCTCTGTGTTCAGAATCACTACTACCTCTCTATATGCCTGGTATAGCATACAAAATTGAACAAGCAGATGGACTCATTTCTATGAAATCATGGAGAAAGGAATTTGCCTTTGACTACGTGTACCAATGAAGATTGAGTCTCCAGGAGTAGCAGTGGTGGTTTAACTGTAGCCAGAGTCATGTAATTACCTAGACTCGTAAAAGGCAGGTTTTAACATGGCTCCCTTTGTATTGTGGTTAGCCTAGTCAGAATAACTGAACAAGTTGTCTTCAGTTCTCTTCCAAGCCCCTACACAGGATCCTTGCTATAATGACATGGTAGCAGCTCAGTGACAAGTTGCATTATTCTGAACCCAGCTGTGAGACGGAGCGCCTATGGAGGATGTGGGACAGTCATTGGCCTGGCTGAGCAAGCTGGCTACTGCCTCAAGCCACCATCCTTAGTAGGAATGTCAGCAGTCTGGCTGTAAACTTTTTATAACTGTTCTTTGTTTCTGATGTTTCCTCTTGCCAGAAATATTAAATCATGGGAGTTTCACAAATGTTGCTCATAGGAAATGTCTCACGCAGAGAAAATGCATTCTGTGTCCTTCCACATCCTTTTAGGGTTTGCTAAGAGCAGCTTTTGCCATGACCCATGGCCAGACCTTTTTAAAACCTGGCAGTTGCTACCTCCCCTAGATAGTTTAGGTGGGTTTGGAGGCATGCAAAGAGCCTATATTTCATGCTGTTATGAGATGCTAAGTGAGTTCTATTCTAGGAAGCTCTTGGGCGAATTACATTTGAATCACTGCTTAGGAAGAATACAAAAGACCTGAAACATTGCAGATTTATTATCAGATGCTGCCATCTTGTGTTACATTCAAAGAAATTATTAGATCAGCACTGTGCATCTATTGTGCAAGAGGTGAGCCTCCAGCAGTGAAGAGACAATGTTTATTTTTCTAACGTTTATGATAACCGGGCCCATTGTGCTTAGCCAAGTCTCTGAAGAGAGGGGAGATCTGTGAGACAGTTTAGAGCTGGCCAACTTCCTGCTTGGAGCATGTTTGTACAGGGTGTTTGAAATGAAATGAACTGCAACCTGAAACCTTTTGAAGTCTTTCAGTGAATTCCTTTTGCATACAGTCATTTGCAATCACAAAGCAAAGCTGCATTCAAGACGGGGACACAACTGCCCAGTTAATTTCTCCACATTTTGTTTACAAAAATTGGTTTTGTATAGAGAAGAGCAGAAGAGCTGTGATTTTTCCACTCTAAAACTATACGTGATAAAGCTTTTTGGCGGCCATGTGCCCTCTTTTACAAACATAGGTTTGATCCTCTGTTTGAAGGGCTGTCCATTCTGCATCCAGTATAAAGAACCATTAGAAGGAAGACTGTGCCTCAGGGCTGCCCATGAAGAACCCTTAGACCAAGGCACACAAGTCGCATGGTCACAGCCTTCCATACCATCTTGAGATGCACTGTATTTCTATTTAAATTAGAATAATTATTTCTCCATTTGCAGCTGTACTATGCATTAGCCCATGCAAATTTTATATAAATCAGTGCCCTCCCTTTGCTCTCTTGTTTGGTGATACATGTTCTCGTTTGGGAAGATTCACAAATGCCCATCCTATTGACGGGAATTGCACACATGTGCAATGTTCTGGGAGAGGAGGAAGTCAGGAAAGAGGTCAACAGAATTCCTTGGGGAGAGTGCCAATTTGTGTTGGGACTGGACAGGAGATTGCGGTCAAATTCTTTCAACAAATGTGTAATTTTCAATGCCTTTGAAACATGGTGCTGGAGGAGAGTTTTGCAAATATCCTGAATAAACAAGGGGGTCCTAGATCAATCAAGGCAGAGTTTTCCCTGGAAGCAAAGAGGACAAAACTGAGGCTGTTGTACTTTGGACACATCATGAGAAGGCAAGACTCATTGGAGAAGACTATCATGCTAGGAAAAGTTGAAGGCAGGAGGAGAAAAGGAGAGCCAAGTATAAGAAGCCCAATGACCCTATAACTCCTATAATCCCTAGCCAACATAGCTAATGGTGCTGGAATATGGGACTTGCAGACCAAAACATCTGTAGGGTAGAAGTTTTCCACTCATGGTGTTTGGGTTGGCCATTGCAAGTCCAGCAGAAGGATTGCTGTTCAGCCGCGAAGTTGTGTCCGACTCTTTGCAACCCCATGGACAACATTTCTCCAGGTTCTCCTGTCCTCCACCATCCCCTGTAGTCCACCCAACCCCACACCCACCTCTCCAGTGACCCCATCCAGCCACCTCAACCTCTGCCATCCCCTTCTCCTTTTGCCTTCAATCATTCCTAACATGAGGGTCTTCTCCGATGAGCCCTTCCTTCTCATTAGGTGGCCAAAGTATTTGAGCTTCAGCTTCAGTATCTGTCCTTCTAAAGAGCAGTCAGGGTTGATCTCCTCTAGGATTGACTATAAGAAGAGAGAGAAGTGGGGCTGAAGTTGCCTAACAGCAAAAGAAGTCTGTATTACTACTTACTTCCATGTGGTATGATTGCGCTGGCATTGCACTGTTGCCTTCTATATATACCTCACATCTTGACATAGCCTGGTGTTTTCCAATTGGGTTACAACTAACAACCTTTTAGAGAAACATAGCCAGGAAAATGACTAATCATATTCCAGTTTTATCCTTTAAAGGTGCATTGTCAGTGTGTGTGTGAGTGCATGTGTGTATGTGTTTTCGAAGACCCTTTGGTTCTGCTTTTAACATTGTTCTCCGTTTTGTCTTCTTGCCCCTTAGATAATTCAAGAAGTCCTAGCCTTTCTGAGAAAGAGCTGAAGGAAGCAAAAGCCAGAAGCCAGAGAATCGCTGCCCAGCTGACCACCCCACCCAGCTCCAACTCCAAAGGGGTCCTGCTGTTTCACAGGCGCAAGCAGCGTGTGAACGCATTTACTCTGGAAGCCCCCAAGGCCGCGATCCGAGGACCGGAGGCTGTGGAGGACAGCCCCAGGGCAGTTGCTCACCACAGCACTCCAAGCCACGGGAAAGAACCCCATTTGAAGCAGGCCTGCGGAGACAAGACAGAGCCAAAGGCTTTACCTTGCACCAAGGGTTTTGGTTTGTGGAAGCAAGAAGCCACCATGGAAAAGTATGAGGAGAACCTGGCACAGCCTCTAGGTAATGCCCAGGGCCCTCAGTGGAACAACATAAAAGGTGAGGAGAAGACAACATTATCCTCTGCAGAGATCCCAGAAGAAGACTTTCAGCAGATCCCGCTCAGTGTATACCTAAAGGCAAGTACAGGGACAGCTTCAACAAATGGAATGCATGAACTTACAAGCAACAAATCTGAAGTAGCACCTCTCACTGATGAACGAGCACAAGCTACTGACAATTTAGAAAATGTACAACCCATCGCTGATGTTGTGTCTGTCACTGACAGGGAGAACAACAGTGCCGTTCTTAAAAAGGAGTTATACATGCTGCATGTGGACAGAGAAAATAATGTTCTTGATAAAGACCCCTACCTACCCCTGATTGGCAGTGAAAAGAACAATATCCCTGGCAAGGAACCCGATGGACCTATTACTGACAGGGAGAATAATATTGTTCCTGAGAAGGCATTGAGTGAACCAGTAACTGAGAGGAAAGAGAACGGAGAGATTCTCAACAAGGAGCAGGACATGTCGGAACCTGACAACAAGAACATTTTCCATGGGGCTGACACTGAGGAGCCCATCCTGTTCACTGACGTAAAGCCTAGTGACATACAAACTCACAGTAATAAGCAGTACTGTGAAGTCCGCCTGGCTTTGCCTAAACCAATGCCTGTGAAGAACCGAACTGCAAGACCATTTGGGACCCAAACATTAACTGCAACCCAAACACCAGGGGAGAAAAGCCCGGTGGTGGAGCTTCCTCCACCTCAGTCATTAACTGCAACCCAAACACCAGTGGAGAAAAGCCCGGTGGTGGAGCTTCCTCCACCTCAGTCATTAACTGCAACCCAAACACCAGCGGAGAAAAGCCCGGTGGTAGAGTTTCCTCCACCTCCCACCTACGCGGAAACATTTTCCAGTCCTCCTCCAGTAACAAGGGTGAGGTCCCCGCCAGCCTACTCAGCACTGTATCCTAGTGAAGAGCAGAAGGCCCCTGCTCTGCAAGGGGCTAAGTATGAAAACAGCAGGCAAGGACCCCCGGCTGGAGAGAACAGAGAACCACCACCAAAGAAGACAGGCATTTTGGAGGAATCTGTCTCCCGCAGAGCAAACAAAAAGTTCATGTTCACCTTTGTTGAGAAGCCAAAAGTGGCTCCTAATCCAGACCTTTTGAATTTAGTGCAGAAAGCAGACAACAGGAAGAAACAGAGAGGGCAAGGAGGCACCATTCCTGAAGATGAACCATTTGCTTTGGGAGCAGAGGCCTCGAACTTCCTGCACGATGGAGCACCTCAGACTCCTGCAGATTCAGCCCCAGAGTGGTCTTCCTGTCTGAGGTCACCAAAAATACAACCCAAGCCTATGATCCAATCTACCCAAACCCTGTCAGAGGCAAGAGGAAAAGGGGCAGAACTCTTTGCCAGAAGGCAGTCAAGGATGCAGAAATATGTCATAGAGTCCCCATCGCACCCAGATATGGCCAGGTCCCCTTCACCCACCATGTCCCTCCCTCCCTCCTGGAAATATGCTTCTGAAACTCATCTCTCCCCCATGGCATTCCAGCCCACACCCACAAGCCCTGCCAGATCGCCAAAGACTCATCGGGTACCTCTGTACAACAGCAACATGTCAGAGAGTGGAATTTCCAAAAAGGAGCAGAAAATTTTGAAGCATCCCCCAGACCAGCTGCAGTCTTCCCTGTTCATCCTTTCCCCAGTGAAAAGCCCATTAAGGTCTTTGCCAAGCAGGGCACCGCCACCAAAGCCGATGGCTCCTGAAACCGGTTATATGAGGCAGGTTTCTTGCCCCACATCGCCCTTGCCCCCCACGCCTATTTTGCATCTACCAGCCCAGTCCAGCCCGAGCAGCTCATTGCCTGGTCTTCTGGCCCCATCAGCTGAGACTGTGCTTGCACCTCAGAACATCAGAACAAGTGCTGGAATGCCGCCAGAAGCATCCTTTGAATATTCTGCTAGAATTTTGTCACCACGAGCAAAAGGAGTCTTCCAAGCTCCGAGACCTTCTTATTCCACCAAGAGTGCAGGAATTGAGCCTCAGGTGTGGAAACCTTCTTTTTACTACAAATAATGGTATTTAATTAAAAGTGGGTGTGCAAGGGTTTGAGTCAGTGTCAAGTGGTGCCATGCAAGAGTTCCAAATGAAGACAGCTTGTTGCAAGTTACAAAAGCAAATACAACTTGCATATCCTGTAGCTGTATCTGAGACCCCAGTGGGCCAGAGCCCTTTTACACTAAGCTTAACCAAGAAGACAGGGCTCCCTCAAGAATGTCTAGTGAAAAGATATGTGGTGGGAGCCCCGTCTAGCATAATGGTGACCTGCCTTGGCATGACCAGTCCTGGCAGAATTGTGCAATCACATCTATACATCTGTGCAAATTATCTTCCATGGAGAGTTAAACAGCGTGTGAATGCAGTTCACAACAGGAATACAAAACAGGCCAAGCATAGGAACGCTAGAACATTGTTAGCTGAAGCTTGACTGAAACAGGAGGAAGCGTCTGATGCCTTCTCTTTTCTTGTGCCCAGAAACTTTACGGAGCATCAAATCTCTGGCTTCATCTCTGGCTTGCCTTTTGAATTTCTTCTTTGCTCTGCAGGACTTTCCCCTCTGTCCTCTCTTTGTTCAGAATCCGCCGTGTGACATGCTTGCAACTTCTGCTCTCTGCTGATGCCAAAAGGCATTCACCTTTCCCCCCACTGATTGCCTTTGATTTCAGACAACATCACCTCCAGCTGATACCTGTACCTGCCTCCCCTCCCTTTATTTCTGCTTCATATGTTTCCCTCTCTGCTATTCTTTCATTGTCTCCTTTGGACAAGGACACAGAGAATCAGCCCAGGGTGAAAAGAAGAATGTCAAAACAAAATAATAACCAAGAACACAAAACTTACTTGCCTCTGAGCATCCTGTGTTTAATACTTGTTGTGTTGATTTACCCACACTGCCTTGGAAAAATTAAAAGCTGCACAACTGCCCCCCTTCCACCATGAGGGATCTAAAGACACTCAGTGGAAATCCTTCCTCTGCAACCAAGAAAATTTCTGCAGGTTTCCTGATATTAGTTTATAAAAAGACAGAATGGGGTCTTTGCTTTGGTACCCAGTTTATGTGGATAGTTAGCCAAACACAGAGAGCATCCTTGTTAAAATCAGCAAAAGCAGGCCCCTATTCAAGTGTAGCGTGGAGATACATAGAACACAGTAACATGTTTTAACCCCGGGTGAATATTGTATTGAGGACTCATAGGAGAAACAATGACTGGTTTTGAAGATCTTGTATCAGCAGCATGCAGTGAAGTTACCATTGTTTCACAACACAAATGACATTTTCAGCACTAGGAAATACTAACATCATCAAGGGATGCTGAAAATATGATCCCATGATACAGTATATCCTGACAAAACTGTAAAATCATTTATATTTTTTAAAATTTTCACACATTTCTGGCCCTTGTGGCTGTGGAAGAAGTGAGGGGAAAGAACCGTAGGATTTGACCTAAATAAACTAAAAGATCAGAAGGCTAATAAAGTGAACTTCAAACATTAACACTTTTATATTTCTTAATTTTACTCCCTCTCATTATTTCTCACCAATGGGACTGAAAATATTGTCAGCACGTAGGACAAGAACTAGTCCATTTTCAGTATGACTCTGCTTTCCCTGGGGGCAAGGCAACCAGGACTCAGGCATGAGTCACAGAAGTCTGGGGCCTGTAAAAACTGCAGGTCTCTAGACAAATTCAGCTTTGAATCACAAATTAATTTGGGCTTCAAAGGGTGGCCCTGGAAGCAAACTTAACTGCAGACTGACCTTTGGCAATGGGCAAATGTCACAGAACGGGTCTTCACAACACTGCGTTGCAAATCCAGCCCATCGCACATTATTTCAGTCATTGTTCTCCCTCATGACTTTTCAGATCCAGCAGTACAGTGACAAACTGTAAGCCAAATGCATGACACAATACATGAAAACATTGGATGTGGTACATTTAGATGCAGGTGATAGGATCTACTGCGCTCGCTCGGGTGCTCTCTCTCTCTCTCTCTCTCTCCCCCCCCCCTCTCTCTCTCTGTGTGTGTGTGTGTGTGATGCTAAGTTGCCTACAAATCCATCTGTAAGGACAGAGCTCAGCAGAGAGGAATTAGGCATACCAGCAAAGCAGTCAAGGTCCATGAATTAAGGATGGTTTCATATGCAACTTAAATTTGACTGGCAACACCAAATGTAAAACCTCCATTACAGTGGACACCCAGCCCTTTTTCATATTTTGTCCTGAATTAACAATATTTGCACTTGGCACAGATAGTGATGGTTCAAATGTGCACTGAAACCTCATGACTGAAAACTCCTGCCAACAGAATGACAGAAGACACAGCAGAGATAGCTGCATTTAGTGGCTACTAAGCATGACACTTACAAGGGAGCATTTGACCGTATTGGCCAGAGCCTGAATATTGACAGATCTGTAGGGTAAATGTCTTTGAAGGCGTGGGATGTGAATGATATGCCATGGACTTAGAGATGGGATAGTTACGGAGGCAGCAAAAAAGTTACAGGTCAAATGCTATGGAATATCTGGGTATTCACTCAACAAAGAAGTCTGTCATCAGCTCCGAAGTAACGTTTGTTTGTTTCCAGGGAGGCTATCACCTTTGACCATAGAAATCAGCAGTTTAATCCAAGTGTGGCAATTTGTTCTCATTTTGTTCATAGATTCCCACCCCAGTGAAGATGGTAGGTTTTCCTAATACTTGTGCAAAGCTCTAGCCAGTTTGGTAGACAATCCTACCTAATCTGATAATTGATTTTTTAAAATGCAGGCAAGATATTCAGGGGAGGGACTAGCCAGGATTTCCTTCCTGTCTTCCTCACATTTAAATAAAATGGAAGACAGCATGGGAAGGATCCGGCAATTTCCTAGTACTAGTACACAGCAAAGCTACCGCAATGTCATCAGAGCTTGCTAGTGCAGTGGGCATCTGGGAAACCTAACAGGCATGACCGACATCGTGCAAGTGCTGGTTTCTGCGAGCGTCAGTGCAGTGGCATGGCTTCCCCGTGTGGCTTGGTATATGAGAAAAACATGTGGCTTAGGTGCAGTCGGGGGATGGAGCATTGCCAGGCCCTGCGGTTGTGAGGTCTGTGCCCCCCTCCAGAAGAACAAAAGCAAGGGCAAAACGGGTTGTTGCCCATCGGAGATGTTAAGGCTCCGGAAGGGATGCCTGTTCTGCATTGCCTGGACTTGATGTGCTACCTGAGGGGGGCAGGGGGCAGGAACAGCCATGGGTGAAACACACACACACAGGAGAATGCATGGTTTAATACAGTTCTGAGGCCACTCAGCTTTGGACACCAGTGGGTAGCTCTTATTTTTCTTCCTTTCTTGTATCTCTTAGTCAGATGATTGCAGGGGCATGGCAGATTCAGTGTGGGCTATCGTCTCTCAAAGGGCAGTCTTCACTGATGATGACGCTGACTCCCAGTTGGCTCTGGAGGGTCAGTTGTTCTGTGATGGAGCGCATGCTCTGTGCACAGAAGGTCCCAGGCTTATCTCTTGGCTCCTGCAGGTAGGGCTGAGAAAACATCTGAAGCAGAGGGAGCTGCCTCCACTCGATGTCAACAACACTGGCTGGATGGACAAAGCGTTTGGCTCGGGATAAGACCATCTCCGAGGATGCCAGCGCTGGTCATGAAAATGGGTCGCACAGCTTGTCGGAGCTGTTTTTCCCATGACCTTGTCCTCGTAAATGCCAGCCCTATTAACAGAGGAACCCAGAGGAAGGCAGGGGAGGAAGGTTATTGAAACACCACCCTAAAGTTGGCAATTATGGTTACAGCCTTCCAGGCTTGCTAGCCAGAACAGTGATGAAAGGAAGCTCTGACATGCTTGACAGTATCCCCGGAGAATTCCTACATCATCAGTTTAGACGGTTCATAATCATTTCCTGAGGAAGGGACAAGGAACCGACCAAAGGCTGCAACAAAGGCCTTATAACAAAGGCCACAGAAGTTAACAAGGAACCAGGAAGCCTTCATCAGTTGAATATCTTCCCTCCACTGCTGAGCTGTCAGGTTTTGAATAATATGGAACTTTGAGGGTGAGATTCCAAGATGCCTGAGTTAAGGCCGAGCAGGAAAAAAGAAGCAATTTTCTAATACACTATCTGTAGGCAAACACATTTACTTAAGGAAATGCTTCTGTTCACTCTCCATTCTGCATCAAATTGTATTATCTATCTTGCAGCATGCTCTGAGCCAGTTCTTCAGCAGCAGTGCAAGCACTGTGTGCTAAGCACATTTTAGCCTCGGGCTGAAGTTCCCATAGTCACAACGGCATGATATCCCAGCTGCATGTCAGGTGGGATGGGATAGCCTTGCTGCTCTTGGTCCCTTTTTAAAAAAGAAAAGAATAATGACCAGCTAAGTGCTGCAGTGCAGGTAAGGAAAGGGCAGTCAGTGCACAACTTCAAAAATATTTGTTTAAATCCTCAGTGAAAAGATAACAAACGATTGTTGCAGAGGAATCGGAAGAACCCTGCTGGTATTTACCACTTCACTTACAGGGCTAGATGAGAGCTCTTGTGCTGAAATGTGCCTCCAAGGAGCACGAACATGACAAAGAGAACCTTTCAGTGTTGATGCCAACTGCAGAAGGCGAACAATTGTAGAAGGTCCTCTCTCTCTCCCTCCCCCCCTCCGTCTTCCTGTGACTGTGTTGCTTGCATGACATAGAAACACAGAAACAGAGCAAATCAGAAGGGGTCTCCCAGGACAGCTAGTCTGACCCCCGGGTCCAGCCGGCTCTGCTCACGAGATGCCTACACATTATGTCAATGCTAGTGCTCAAAATTCCATTTCCCCAGAAAAAGTGAGTGGGGTGCATTTTTGTAAGTTCTCGAGCAGTCAGAGTCTTGAGGAAAAGTGCAAAATGTACATCACCCTGAGGACTGTTGTAGGCAGTAGGGAAGGATCTTTCTGCAAGGAGGGAATAAATCATACCAGTCCTTTTTCACAAGCAAAAATCACTGGTACATAT